AGGAGTCGGAGTAGGAGTCGGAGTCGTGGTGGTGGTGGTGGTGGTGGTGGAGGTGGTGGTGGTGGTGGAGGTGGTGGTGGTGGTGGTGGTGGTGGTGGTGGTCGTGGTGGTCGTGGTGGTCGTGGTAGTAGTAGTAGTAGTAGTAGTAGTAGTAGTACTAGTAGTACTAGTAGTACTAGTAGAAGGAGCAGCAGCAGCAGCAGCAGCAGCAGCAGCAGTAGCAGTAGCAGGAGCAGCAGCTGCCGTGGTCGTTGGTGGAGATTGGGGCTGGTGATCAGAAAACGAAACAAACAAAGGGGCATTAATTCAAAACTCGGCATCATGATGCAAGATGGAGAAAACTTATAATAGTAGGACAGTCGGATAGTAGCAACGGTAATTATGCGATCACCAAGAAAGCTCGCACCTCTTGATCGTTGCAATAGGGAAGCCTGTAGCACTGAAAGCAGCGAATGATAATTACCGTGCCATCGTATTCCAATATCAGCAATTCATAGATTTTGTCAATCCTTTAGGGTTTAGGGGTTTGGACTCTCGCGACAGGTTGGAAGGCAGGCTCGTGTGGCCCAGGTAAAGGCACACCCAAATGCATCCCACGCTAAAGGCTAGGATAGGCTAGGGGTTTACAGGGGCACTTCTCTAAACTAGGGTCCCTCTTTAGGTCCCCAATATAGTACGGCACCTTGCAACAAGGACCCTAAAAGAGGATCCTATTTTTGAGAACTACCCATAGTGCTTAGGGTCTGCATTCCCTTCAAGATGCCCTATATAAACTCTTTTTTCTGAACCCTGAACCAACCCTGAACCCTGAACCCTAAACCCTGAACCCTGAACCCTGAACCCTAATCCCTTGAAGATGTGCCTCCCTCTCCTCTGCAGGCTCTGCCGGGCGTGGGGCTGGGCCTGGGCCCCTCTCATCGAAACCCCGGGAAGCCGAGTATCTGGCGGAGCTCGCCCTTAGCTTCCATGGACTTCTGGCAAAAACTTGAAGACTATCATAGAATTTGATTAGATTTGATTCGAATGGAACAGAACAACATAGAATATATCTGTCCCTCTATATATAAATTCTCTACACATATGATAAAACAAATACATAAATAAGTGTGTGTGTGTATATATATATATGTATAGATACACAATAGACTGTCAGGTTTCCCGTCTGTTCCCAATTCCGCAAAGACAGCCCAAGCAGCCGAGAGCGCTCGCTGTCATCTTCAGGCTTCGGCTCCTCCCATCCCGAGAAGAAGCCACCTGACGGTTTAGGGTTTATAGGGTTTCGGGTTCAGGGGTCCGGGGTTTGGGGTTTCGACTCTCACACTCGCAGAGTTTTTAGGGGTTTAGGGTTTAGGGGTTTGGGGGTCGGCAGAGTTCCATTATGGCATCGTAAGTAGAGTATAGTTTTTTATGGTAGTCAGCTATAGGGTTATAATATAGTACTCATTATTCGCTGTCATTGCCACCGGGTACCGCGCCTTGCGGCGGCTCTTGCCTCGGTGTGGGCGGCTGCCGAGGGCCAGAAGTCGGCGAAGCTGCGGCAACGTTGTCCCTTCCCGCCGCGATGGCGGACACTGGGGCCTTCTTGCGCATGGCCACCGCATTGGCTCGCCGCTCGATTTCATGCGCCAAGTTGTGCGACAGGTCCACGTCGTGGATGTAATCTGGGCATCCTTGCTGCTCCCACGCAGCCTTCTGCGCACGTCGGTGCGCATCCGACGGTGCAAGCTCGGGATATGCACCGGGCAAATCTGAAACCGGGCAGATGCCGGCAGCATTTTCCACCACCCGTGCAGATTGCAGTCTGTTTCCACGCGAATCGTGTGGCTTCACGCAGCACAGATCCATGTTCACGATCAGTGGCTTCTCACCCTCCATTGTGTAATCCTGCGGTTGCCCCCGAGACTCCTTTAACTTTGCGAGTGGCACCTCGATGCTGTTTTGCAAACTGGCACCCAGCAATGATACTGATGCCGCAGCACTGCCAGCAGAGAGGGCAGGAATTGACACCTGAGGGTGCATGAAAACCCCCTACCCATTTGCCTGATCTACTTTAAGAAATGCTTTCGGGGGTTTTTATCATCCCTCACCTCCATGAAACAGCGCTCTCCCACTTGGTCCGGGAAATCTGCCGTGCATCGCGCCAGTGTCACACCGGCCTCTCCGGCATCGGCAGGGCTTCATTGCCGATGACTATAAACCCCTAAACCCCAGAGCACCCTGTAAAGGAAGCCTAGGATCCCTATAGATCCCTTTAAAGGAACCCTAAAACCCCTATATATGGGCCTACATCTGGGTGTGTACTGTAGTATGGCGATATCAGGACTATAATAAGGGGATAGCAACTACTAACTCTTCCGAGCCCTGTAGTGCGCACTCGTTCAAGGAAGCAATCGTAGCATCCAATGCCTCCACATTAAACATTGAATAGTATTTCGCTGTCATGCACGCAGAGAGATATGATTCCTGGAGCTTCTATGATGCTTCAGCATATTCTGTCTATCGGAAGCAATACAACATGCACAAACCCACGCACTGTAAACCGTCAACCCCCACTAAAACGGATTTAAGGCTAAACGTGGTTGACCAGGCCCTGTCAACGATGCAGAGCTCGGCCACAGTTCCCGGCTGCTGTCTGCGAGACACGCGGAGAATCTCTGCATAGACCTCTGGAGGTGTTGGCAGTTGTGAATAATGCGCTGCAGAATGGACGAACTTGGAGAATCTATCTATCTATATGTGTATATATATAGATATATAGATATAGATATATACATACATACATACATACATACATACTTGCTTCAGCGACGCTCCAAAGCTCGAAGCTCCATAGGCAGCCACTGGGCTTTCTGAACAGGTGGCAAGGAGCAGATCAGGAAAAAGGCAAACGCCTTATGCAAACCCCGAATTCACAAACCCCCCAGCCCTTGTAGTGCTGGCGGTAAGGAAGACGCAGAATGTAACATATGAATCAGGCCGCTACGCACCCTAAACCCTTGACATCGCGACTCAAAAGGCTGAGGAACATGAGCATCTTGTGGGGCAGCCGCCGGCTGAGGGTCACTCCAGGGATAGATCCGCTCAGCTTCCAGATCGCTTCGGATCTTCTGATGGGCCTCCCAGCAATTCGCAATCGACTCATGTGGGCTTGGTTTTAGGGTTTCGGGTGGTAAATCATCATCACAACAATTATTTATATCCCCTGTGTTCGGTATTCTAATTAAACTAGCCATACATAAACTCAGGATGGAAGGGTTTTAGGGTGACTCATGAGCTTCAGACCTGCATTAGCCTAGAGCACGGATCTCCGCTACGATCCCACCATTGCACATGTAGACATTTTGTGTCAGGGGTCTGTAGTACATGCAGCATAGCCTGACATAGCCATCGAACAACGATCATGATGAGGGCAAGTAAGAGCAACAAGGCATCAGCCCAAGGCCTCAAAGAGCTCATCCGGTGGCACCGCTGGATCCACTCCTCCATCTGGACACAACCCCCGGTCTGACAACATGCAAGCCAGTGATGCATGGCTGATAGGGCTTAGGACATGCAGGACACGGACTTCCTGGCTTTCCAACGATGTTGTCGTGGTGATCGAGACGGTTCTGCCGATGGAGCCAATACCTTGGCTATACTGTTGGCGCAAGGGGCTCCCGCGCATGCGAGACAGCCTGAGGAACTGGTTTAGCGGCCTCATTTTTTGAAGAGGGTTTCGGGGTATACTGCAGTATAGGAAGATTAAGGATCCCTATAACCAAGGGGTGATATTGGTAATTCTTGAGGCTTCTAAACCGTGCGCAGAGTCCACACGGCCGCAATAACCTCATTGCCGACAAAGCCACTGGTCGCCAGCAGCAATCTCGCGTTCGTGCCTAAGTTGTTCCAGAAGCCGCTTTTGCTCCACCAGCACCTGCTGTCAAATGCACTGCGGGATACGGTGGCTGCTGATTGCGAGACAAGTAGGGCCTTGCACAGCCTTACTTAAGACCTCTTTTTGAGCAGGGAGGGAGGGGACTGCAATGACTGAGGGCCTAAATCCAAGATCCCAAAAGCTCTTCGTCCCTCCTTATGCTGCTCTTTGGCTCTGTTCTGCCAGAAACCCGAGGACCATCGGCCCGATTTTTTTCTGAATTTGCGCCCGGGCGCTGCCACGAAGCCTAGTATAGGAAGCTGATTCAGAAGCCCTGGGTCCTTACTAAGGGTCCTTACATGAATCCTATACTATATTGGGGGGTTATAGGGCCAGGGTTTCTTAATCAGGTTCCTACATTAGGAGGTATCCGAAACTCTACACCATACCTTACTTCCTCGCCTTTTGCTGTTCTCTGTACTGCTCCTGCAGCTCGCGAGGGACGGCCCGGCTGTCTCGAAGATGCTCTAGGGCGCGACCGCGCCCATCCTGGCCCAGCTGAAGACCTGAGTTTTGTTAGGGTTTAGGGTGTAGGGCCCCTGAGCCCTGCACATCCCTAAGCCCCTCCAAAACGTTAGAGGCTCGGGTTTAGACTTCCCGGCTTGCAGGTCAGGACAATCATGAATTACACATGCGTGGTTCTCTAAGTTAGGGTCCGTTTTCCGGGCCCTTTTTATGAGTTTACGGAGACCCTTCAATTGCTCACATGGCTTCTCTCCGTCCATCTGCCCTGTAGACCCTTTTTGAACCCGGGACTCCGCCACATAGACCCAAAAACCGTTACCCCAAGCCCTAAATACCCCAAATCCGCAAGGCTATACCCTGAACCCTATGCACCTTCCCCTGCACCCTAAACCCTATACCAGATGAGTCGCCGATCTCATTCAGCTGGGAGCGCATGCGAGAAGCATCGCCCAGAAGCTGATGGAAGGACATATCCAGCCCATCCTGCGAGGTAAGATATCTCATAAATCATAACTTCAACTCGGGTCTTAATGCTTCTACTGTAACTAGTTCTCATGACTTGTGCAACTACATAGGGGCTATACTATACGGGGACAGTAATCAATGCGCATTATTCCGACTGCACAGTTGACACAGTATGCAGTCGTCGGCCACATGTCACGTTGATATCACCTACAGCCCATATGACCTACCCCGAACACATTTTTGCATCTGGCGTTGTGCAATCACCAGAGACCCTACCCTCAACACTAGACCTCTAAACTCTAAGCCCTACACCTCCAAACCCCTAAACTCTAAACCCTACACCCCGAACCCGCAAAACTCTAAACCCTTCATCCAAGAACATGAACCCTGCACCGTCCTTTCGCTGCGCCACGCCATTCGGGCCCCGAAGCTCCTTGCTCTTCTCATCTGCCTCTGCTTGCTCCTCATAGCAGGGTTTAGGGTTTAGGGTTCTTCATGAGATCTCATGAGCACAGATTGGCCTTGGGACTAAGCCTGCCGCTTCGCAACGCACAGAGAGATACAAACATGCACTGGAGTAGCTACGGGCCAGACTGGCACTTCTCTTTCTCTGCATCTGTGAGGGTCGGCTCAGGCATTTAAATGAATCCTGCATGCCTCTGGCACGGGCTTCGTTCCGATGTCTGGAGACCCACACTCTGAAGGCTAGGAAAGTACCCAAAAACAAAACAAAACTCCGGGCCCCCAAGCAGGGCGAGAGATGTATCTCTCGATCGAGAGAGGTAGACAAGCTGGCGAGGCCCATGAGCAAGTAAGATCTGCAATCTGTCACTGCATAAGACTTCACACTGCATATGCTCTGGATGCTGGTAGAAATCATGCCATGCCCCTTCTGCGGCCTCTCACAGGGTCAGCCTGACCCCCGGTCCAACAACTCGTCTCATTTCAGCAACGAGGCCACCTCTTGGATGCCATAGTAGAGGCCAGTGATGGCCCCAAGCACACCGACAACCATGCAAAGGGAGCTCAGAACCCACTCGTAGCCTCGAACC